TCTGTGCACATACAAAGAGAAATCAAACCCGAGGTGAGTCCTGGCTTTACAACAAGCCACTCTCGAAGGAGCAAATCCATTCTCCTGATAACCAATGTAGTGTCGCAAGTGTGGGAACTCACTACTGTAAGAATGACACCAAGTCCTTCATGAAGAATCTGCCCCCACGACCCACACACCTCCCACCAGGACCCACGTCTCAATACTATCACACTGGTAATCAAATTTCAACATAGATGTGGTCGAGACAACAATACCACATCCAAACCACAGCAGGAAGTTCCTGCCAACTTGCCCAACTTCACTTTACAGTGGGTGGGTAGGAAATCAGCTATTGTGCTGGGATAAAGAATGCTTTACTCTTAGGCCATTCAATACTCAGTTAGCCCAAATCTCCCCAGATTATCAGAATACTTAATTTTAGCCTGGGATAAATGCCTAGATATTGTATCTGAGACAGAGGGAGAGTTCTGTTCTTCCTCATATAGACCTTTATTTAGTCTCCCTGTTCTCAATCCTGCTTCTCACTCTCGCTCTGTCTTGTAGGTATCTCCAAATCTCGGTCTCCCTAAAGCAGTTCTGGGCTGACGGGCCCCCCTTTCTTCCTGCAGCACCCTCTACACCCATTCCACCTTATGGTTTTCTTCCTTTTATTTTGTCAGACCACACTTACTTTTCACATGTCGAATTGAAAAACAATTATCTTCCGATGCCCCCCTTCTCCTTTTCTATTTTGTATCATTTTTATTTATCGTCATTTTATGGGGTCTCAGGAAGAAGAGGCAGTAAATACATGTGCTTGGGTAGCTAGCTTTAACAAAAAACCCTAAATGTAGGTTTTAAAAAAGATCTCTGGAGCAGGGTAGGAAAATAATATTTGTTGCCAGTGTGGTGGCAAAAAATAAAAAATAAAAATCTGAATCTGTGTTAGGACAGTATTTCTGTGTATAACATAGCGCTCAGCAACTTAACTCTCCAGATCCACGTATTTTAAGGACACGATGTATCTCAGACACCGACTTCAAACCTCACTTTACAGTTAAGTAAGACCACAAGTAGAATGATTTGCCTGAGGCCACACAAGTAGACAGTGGGAGAATGAGAACAGAAAGATCTATTGACTCTTAGTTCAATTTTCTCTTACCTTACCACACTGCTAGGGAGTAACAAGATGGGTAGATCACGAGTCAGATGAGAAAAGTCAAAGGATGACTTTTCCTGGGTAAATAGCCGGATGTCCAGGAAATGAAATGCTGGTCTGGCAGCACATCGTCTAACAGTTGGTAGTCGTATGTGGGAAGTACTGAAGGGAGAGATGACAGCAGGCCCAGGAACTGCAATGATCCAAGTGCATGTCGATCCTGGGAGGGAACAATTAGAGAGTCCGGGCAGGATGAAAAACAGTAGAAACGGGTGAGTGAATGCATGTGAACGCAGAGAAGCGACTGGAATTTGTCAGTGGGATTATGAGGCAGTGGTTAATTACGGTGGCGGAGGTGAGTAGGAGTAAAATGATGGCTTTTAACTCCTTTTAAGGACACCGAGAATTATTTTAATAAACACTGGAAGGCTGGGAATAAATATAATTCACACCATTCTTACTTTCTTGGTTTAGAGATAAGCTTATCTACATCCTTAAATTAATGGCCGTAGCTACCCTCTGCATGGTTCCAAAAAAAAAAAAAAGAAAAAAAAACCCAAACCGGCTGCGAGTCTGCACGAGAAAACCGGGTTGCTCCACGCCCCAGCCGCCCGCCGACTCGCCTAGCTGTCGGAGGCCAAATACACAGCTCCCGAAGCCGCGTCGGGCACCGCGCAGGGTCGGAACCGGGACACTAATTTCCGCCCACGCTCCCCGCTCCGGGCCGCATCACCACAGAACACCACGTCCATTGCTGGGGTCCTCGGCGATGCCCGTGTGCGCAGCCCCGCGAGTCTCAGGTCAGATGACCGCTCATTTCGCGGCCACGTTCCGCGAAGCTAAGGGGCAAAAAACCAGCTTTGGTGGAACAAAGCGTGCCCCCAGCAGCCAGGGTCGGTCCCCGCGCTGGTCC